ATTTGAGGAAACTCCCATTTTGTAATTTAATTCAGACCAAGTAAAATTGTGGACTGTACCTTCTCCTCCATAACTTGCTTCAGGATAGAAAGGGCAATGGTTTCAGCTTCTTTAAGAGTCAGATCCTGAAAGCAAGCAATATATGGGTCATATAATTGAAAACTCTAATAAGTTACAAATTTGCCAATAGCTCCTAGATAAAGGTAGAATAACATGATACCTTGTTAAACTGTTCCTGCAAAGAGCTATCGGCACCTTCAGAGCCCGACCCAATGGCTTTTGCATTGCACTGCCAGAAAGTGCCCGAGGGATCTGTATAGTATCTGTGCATGAAAAAGTCTTAATTAAAAATACGGTATGTAGCTGGCAATCGTTAAGTCACATTGCAGCTTATCTATTAAGTATTGTGAATTATTTAACAGGATTGCTACTTAAAAAGACTGTTTTGACATATAGAAACGTTTTTCGCACTCCTTTTTTTCTCACATAGATAATGCATAAAAAATAATAACCCAATCCCAGAAATTGAGCACATTTTGGTTATAATGAGAGTATATATATGTCAGGCAGATATGAGAGGTGCAGAGGACTACATAGCATATATGATATACCAGTTTAAACTGAACTACTTACAAGCTGGGTCCATTCTCATCATGGCCAGCAATGAGAAGGGATACGCCAAAAGGTCTCGACTGCAATAAAATAAGAAAATGAGTTTATTAAGAAAGTAGAAATCACATGGGTGAAATTTTAAGTGAAAGAAACAAAAAAGAAAAAAAAAACATATACATAAAATATTTTAAATGGGAAAAGAACTATAGCTTTATCATATAGATACTTCTAAAGAGGAGTGAGCTGAGTAATCCTAAGATTCATAAATGTGAAACAGCACCAATGCATAATTTCGACTGAAACAATGATGCTGCCAATCACAATCCATAACCAAGTAAAATAACGCTACCAGTTAAAAGGAATGTCTAAAACTAACTAGTATTTTTTCCCATCAAATTTACAAATCCTTATCTTTATGGAAATTAAAAGAAGCTAACCATTGATTCCTCATCCCCCTCACCAAAGCGCAAGGCTAGATCACACAGAGCTTGAGTAGTGGACTCAACAGTCATGGGCTCACCATATGAAAACCTATGATTCTAGAAGATGCAAAAGCCAAAGATTATACATTGAACATAAACCAATATAAAGTAGTAGGCCATGAAAGACAATGAGGGTCGAATATTCAACATAGGTGAAGAATTACCTGGGTCTCTACTCGTGCATGTTCAACCAATGTGCGGGCATCAGCAATTAGGCCACTCATAGCACACCCTATATGATCATCAATCTCCATAATTTTCTCCACACTACTAGGTTCCTGAAAAACAGTTAAATGTAGTATTTAGTGTCAACATATGATGAAACAAAAGAATACACAGTTATCAGCAAACAGCTTTACATAACAATCTGGCAGCAAGAACGCAATGTAGCTAATGTACATATCGGTCCTCAACATAGGTAATTTAGAGTTCTTGACATTTTATGATCCAGTAATCAACTTGATAAATAAGTACTCGCCGTGAAAGCAAGAAAACAGACACGACGTGTTCTATATTAACATTTTCTTAAGCACTCGAAAACATACCATTCTTACTAAAGTATCAAACACAGTACAAGTCGAAACAAGATCATCAGGTGAAAACTCAGTCATCGAATGAGCTATTAACACTCTCAAATGAATCTCAAATCTCCTTATGGATCAAAAGCATACCAAAAGCGGTGAGGTAATGCGCTTTTCGACAGCAAGAACTACGCCCTCCTTGGTCTTTATTCCAATTGCAGTTGAACCCAACTATAACAAAAACAAAGGAAACCCATGTCTATAAAATTAATTATAAAAGAACCCATAAAAACTCTACATTCAATCTAGTAAATCTAATGACCTTGATAGCTTCAATGGCGTACTCGACTTGAAACAGCCGACCTTCAGGGGAGAAAGTGTTGACCCCTCTATCGTACTCAGTCCTTTAGGAAACACAAAACCCATAAACCATTACATCATATCTACGCAAAACCCACACATACATGAACCAAAAGCCTGGAAAAATCCAAATTCGACCGCAAAATGGGATTTCATCTTACCTGGTGAGGAACATTTTCGATAAACCAAATCTGCTGCGAAAACATGCATTCAACAGTTAAATTGATATGATTAGCGCTGAATGAGACTTATAACAACTGATAATTTGTTTATTCGAGCTGATTAGAAGAGGGTACAGAAAAAACAACAAGAAAAGAAAATTCGAAATGGATCCGAATGAGACTAACCTTAAACCCTAATGAAGAGAAGATAAAGCTAAGCAAAGCAAATTTTCTTCGCCGTAGGATAATATTGAAGAATGTTCTTTGTTACTGTAATTTATGCTACTGAGCGAGCATTCTTCTTCCCCGTCTTGTCAAGCAAGGCAGTGATGAGTTGCAGGTCGTTTTGGGCTCTATTTGTAGTTTGCAATTATAATAGCCCATTGATGCGGCCCATATAATATTTATAGATTTTACATAAGCCTGTCATGTGTAAGATGTAAGTCCAGCTACCTCTCACTTGATTAATTTTCTTGGGCCAGACCAGCCCAACGTGTGATTATTGAGGGAATTATATGGTTCAGTGAATCATTTTAAAATC